TTTGAGAAGAGATTTTCATATCCCCCATATTTCCTTCTTTGGGTCTTTCTATTTAGGGATCAGTTTAAAAATACGGTCCTTCTATCTGGAGCAGAGGGGTTGTGAACCATGAGTTCCACATCTCTTGAGACTTTCAGTCACTTTCAAGGAAAACCACAAAGAAAACAAGAGAAAATTAAAAAGAAATACAGCTTATTTTTAGCTTGGAACACAACATGATTCCACGATAGACTACTAGTATATTGGACACACTGGAAGAAAAACCATCACTTACCAAAACTTAAGGGGTGCTTTTCCACTCAAGAAAAAGAAATGGTTGCTGGAATTGCATCCTTAAAATAGGCATCGTCAATATATTTGGTTCCTTTTATTGCCTGTTGACCAGATACCTCCTTTTTAAAAATTATATTGATGTGTGATTTTGCCACATTTTCAGTAAGAATGTGTATAACTTTAGAAGTTTAAAGTTATACATTTAGAACCTAGGGGTAATCCTCCAAGTCCCTGAGAAACAGATGATTCTGAGGATTGATTTATGATCACTTGTCGTTTTAAAATTAAAGACCTCCAGGACTAGATCTAATCACAGATTAATATACCTATTTTTTTAAAATTGGGGAATTGGGAAAGGGGAACAGCCAAGTTGTTCTTCAATCTTAGTTGTGGAGGGCACAGCAAGCTCAGCTCCAAGTCCAGACACGCCGCTTAGCTCAAGGTGCTGTTTTCAATTAGTTGTGGGTGGGTATAGCCACCATCCCATGTGGGAGTCGAACCAGCAGCCTCTTAACCAGTTGTTAAGAGTGTGTGCTCTATATCCACTGGACCATCTGGGTGGCAGCTCAGCTCAAGGTGCCGAGTTCAGTTATTTTAGTTGCGGCAGGTGTAGTCCACCATCTTGAACAGGCAACCTTGTTGTTAGGAGCACGTGCTCTCACCAGCTGAGCCATCCTGCCACCTGTTGGCAGCTCAGCAGCAGCTCAACTTGGGTGCAGCTCACTGGCCCATGTGGGAATTGAACTGGTGACCCTGTTGCTCAGAGCTCGCACTCTTGAGCAAGCTCTTAACTAACTGAGTGACTTGGCTGGCCCAATATACCAATGTTTTAAGGTTTCTTCCCCTACCTATTTATAAAGACCACAGTCTCTTTCAGCAAGCCTAAGGCAATTCTCAGCAATGGCATCATTGTTGACTAGGAGACAGGAAATGAATTTTTCGACATCAGTGTCTGTTTTCCACTTTGATTTCTTCACCTCATCCACCTTAGAGATCCCGGGAAGGACTTGAGTATCTCCTCAGCAATATATTTATAGTCAAGGAGACTTGACCTCTATGTGAACTTAGTGTCAATCTTGAGGTTATTGGGTTGTACTGACATAAAGGTGATTGGGCTATAGGCAGGGGGCTAAGGCCACCATTTTGTCAATAAGAAGAGGAAAAGGCTGTTATCAGAAAATGGGGACTCAGTAGCTGAGCTTCAGGCTGGCAGGATTGTTATTATCGTGGGGTCTTGATCTCTTGAAAGAATTTAGAGTCATGTTTTTCAAACCATGCTGTGTTGGGTCCTAGGTTAAGGCAGCACATCAAGGGCCATTGTGGAGAGATGAAGCTGGTGGAAGGAGGTTGGGAGGATGAGCTCTTAGGCTCTAGGCCTCACCCCTGACGTTTCAACCAGCACAGCTCTATTTCTATCTTCTTTATAGATTGGGCTCAACATCAGATATTTTTAATATAATCAGATGAAAAAGTTGAACTTACCAGAACTCCTTTCAAGGAAAGTACTGTACGCGGTTAGAAAGAATACTATAATAAGTCCTTTAGGAAGGGGAAAGGGGGGTGCAGAAGTGAGATCTTCAAAAGCAGAATGAAATAAAAAATTTTAACCAATAAACTGCCATCTCAGGAAAGTGAGTCCTGATAACTTGAAAAGTAGGCAGATTTGAGGACAAGAGTTGAACTACTCATGAGAATAGGGAATAAATGGGCTGTGTATGATGTGGGAAGAATGGCGGACAGAGAGAGATCTTTAGTTCACAGCACCACTAAGGGACTTGGGAGAAGAAATACATCAAACGGGTATTTATGAAGTTGAACACAGTGGTATGTGTAATATAAAAAATTTTCTTTGCTATCTCTCCCAACATGCCACACCCCAAACAATATTTAGTAAAACTTGCTCAGTAATGCTTTAGGACTTTATTTGTGCATAGATTCTTCCTGGAGAAGGCAAGAGATACTGAGGTTTGCAAACTGATCGTGTAAAGAAAAACGGAAACCATACATACATGTTTCATGTGGTGCTTCACCAGGACTCTCAAGACTCAATAGCAGGTAATACTCACCTGCTAAGATTTATCATAGCAAAGGATACACAGCAAAAGCAACAGGAAGATGTGCAACAGTAAAGTTCAGAGAGGTCCAGCACAGGCTTCCGAGAGCTTCCTTGTTGGAGGCCGCAGAGGAGTGCTCTTTTTCTAGCAGTGAACTATAGGGGTATGTGTGGAAGGTCTGCCCAGAGAATCCCAAATGAGTCTTAAGGTCCAAGGCTTTTAGGGGCTGTTGGTCACGTAGACATATTCTGCTTTGCAACCAGCCTTGGCAACCAAAACCAAGAACCCCAACAATGAAACCAGGTACACATCATTAATCTTGGTGCTTGTGTAAAGCAAGCTCAAAAGGCGATATAACATGGTCCATTGCTTCTTGTGTATATAACAAACTCATCAATCACTAGCATAAAAAAAATTCTGAGGGCCACATTCCCAGGAGTTGGCCAACGGTCACTCATGGTTCCCTTGAAGGCATAAGGAGTAAGCAACCAGACTTGCTGTGTTCATTTTTTTCCTCACAATATGTGGAGGACAGCCAAATCTGGTTAGGGATTTGAAAAAGGATTTCAACACTGCAAAATCACTTCTATGCTGTACAGGTTAAAGATGACTTCTGCCACCTGGAGGCAGATCATAGGCTAGGCAAGAAAGCCTTTCTGTTGCAGGCTTCTGGTGGAAGAGAAATAAACCGTATTTTTTAAGTCAGCATTTAATTTCATCATACTTGCTGTAAATTCTTGCTTAAAAGTTTGAGCCTTATCTCAACATGCTATAGAAAATAAAGCATGTATCTATTCATTCAAAATTACACTGAGGATTTATGTACTATTTGCTAGAGGTTGTTATGTGCTTTGGAGATAAACTAATGAAAAGACAGATGGATGTCTGCTCTTATGAAGCTTACAACTCTGGTGGGGGAAAAACAGGAAAAAATGTGACTTGAGGAAGCTATCATCTGTTGAGTTGGGACAAAGTCATAAAAGGAGACTGGTGTTCTACCTGGAAGTCTAGAAAAAGGAAATCCAAAGAAAATAAGTTTATCTGTATCTCTAGGCTGTTTTTTGCATGCCTTCCTAATTAGAGTGACCAACCACCCCCCCTCCCCCCGTTTCCTTGAACTGAGAGGTTTCCCAGGATGCAGACTTGCAGTGCTCAAACTGCAACAGTTGGTGATCCAATTTCCATCCCATGACCATTTCACTCCTCTGAGAACTATTCTCCCAACCACTGGAGTGGGTTCTGGCAGCCATGTTTGTGCTGTGTCACCCTGTCCACCAGCTATATTAGAGATTAGACCCATTATTAGCCAATGTTTAGCTTGAAAAGTTGGCTGAAGAATTTGCTCAGAATCCAATTGCAGAGCTCTGTAGTGAAGTCTCACACATTTGTGTTATGGAGATTTCTAGAACAAATCTAGTGTTTGACCTTTCGAAAGCCTGTTTATCTTCTAATTGTCTGAGGTACCCCAATCTCCTAAAAAGTTCTCTCCCTTTGCCATCATTTTTGCGTAAGCTAATTTAAATAGATTTTTACTTTGTTCCCAGAAACTTAGCTGAGTCTCTAGGTTGAGTATTTCCAAGTCAAGACAAACAGCTCTGCTTTCGTTAGAAACATTCCTAGAATATTCCTCAGGCTTACTGGAAATATCTATAGAGAATGACCGCCTGCACGGTTATAGAACTGTATTTTCATCTCCTGAGTGGACCTACCCACCAAATATATTTCTAATTTTAGATTAGTAAATTGGCATTCTGGTTCATTTATTTTTTTAAAAATGGTTTGACTTGAAAGTGTACGGATTCTGCTAAAAGCTACCTGACACATAACCCTACCCTGTTTCCCCTGGGCATGTTAGTTGCACATGGTAGTGTTCAGTTAAAGCTTCTCAGGTAACTGAAAACTCAACTACTCTTTTGTTCAGTTCAGATTTGTTGCAAATTCTGCTGCACTTTCTACTCAAGACAGTTCCTTCTCCCTTGACCATCGTTAGTAACAGGGTATGTTTCTTGCAGAAATGTTGCCTTGCCTTTGGAACCACACCCAAGCACACTGGCTGTTCTGTGGTATCTCCCTTTAGGAGCCCCAAGCTTTTAACGCTATTATCAGTAGGCCATACTGGACCTATCCTGTTAGTAACCCTCTTCCCTTCTAGGGTCACTCGGGCACACCTAGGCACTCATCAGCTTGTCAATGGCTCTCCAGCTTGTCCTTTTCTTTTCAGTACCTTCACTGTGGTGGAACCCATGACTTATTCCTAGGCCTGGTTCAGCACCCCTTAGTATTAAATGGTGTTAAGAATCACTGGTAGCTTTCTGGGGGAAAAGAAATATTCGGGACTGCGCTGCAGACCTATGGAATCGAACTATTGTAGACACGAACTCCAGAAAACTGCATTTTAGGAAAGCTCCCCAGGTGATTCTGAGGCACTACTGACCTACTTAGAGGAGGTCCTAGCCTGGGTCTTTGATTTGACGTTTAGCAGTTTTTTGCATTCCTCCTCCCCCTTTGTAAACTTATCTTTAGGAACTTGAAAAGCAGAAACTTTTCCCTCACCATTCTTTTTCATTATGATAATCACTATCATTATGTGGACCGGAATTCTAGGTGCTGTACTTACAATACAAAATACATCAGACACCACTGATCCCCTTACCTCAAAGAAAACACTGCTGCCCAGGATTATGTATTTATTTTAGTTCAGTTAAAACAAACATACATTGTTTCATTGAAACGGTGTAGCACTCTTTGCCAACAAGTCATACTGGAATTGTTGGCCTATAAACAGTACAGTAGGGATTTTTTACATTATATACAGGAAGTTAACACACGCAGGTTCTCAAAGGTCTTTCATTATACTAGATCACATTTGATTTCATTAGATCACATTTTAACTACTGCATTTTGGAAATTTAGACCTTATTTAAAATTTAATAATCTGAACTTGCATCAAGTTTTCATGAAAAAATGAAATGTTCAACCAGTCTAGTCTGTTTATTGCAAGTACAATTTAAACAGTATTTAAAATTTTAGTGTTTTACACAATTTGTCAAGTTGTCTATATTGAAATCTCTGTACAGGTACTTTTGGGACAATTCTTCTATATATACTGTGTGAGTTCATCAAAATGCAGTTAAGAAACTTACAGGAATATATACACTCAAACCCAAGACCCAAACCTGACCTATGGAATTATATACAACCTATTTACAAATACATATGGACAGACAATGTATGTACACAGATTATCATAAATATTGAAAAATAGGTTAGCTTTAATGGATTAATGCTGTTCTATAAATAACATTACAGTTATAACTGAAACATCCACGGAAGACAGTAATGCAAAATGAGGTGACAAGACAGTGGTTTTAATACTGAAGACTGCTCATTAATGGGAATTCACTGTTTAGGAACCTCAAGGCAGACAATATAGCTCCAAGAAAATCATGCAATGGAATTTACCCTAGGCAGCTGATTTTGAACCTCAAACCGCCAGAGGATTGGATGAGCCTCTCCACATTGATTTGCTGTGAGAGGCTATTTTCCATTCCTTCCTGGTTGACTCGGTATTTCCTCCCATATGAAAGGATGTAAACTATAGAAACTGTCAGGTTCTCCGTGACAGGCCTTAGGTACAAAATCAGCAATTCTTTCAGGAACTCAAGCAGAAGTGCCAGTTCTTAGTTTGAAATAGAGGTGAGGTTCTGGATTTGAAGGGAGTGCCAAAAGCCCAGTTAAATGAAAGCAGTGCTGTAGAATCCACCTTCTCACTGCCTTTCTAGATGGTCCCCAATAATTTTCGTAGAAAAACAAAGATGGACCATTGGTTTCACCCAACGTAGCACTACAAGACGTCTTCCAGTTCCACAAGGGTCTTTAATTAGACAGACATATCTTGTCTATAACCTAGTCACATATAATACAAGAATGCGTAACAAAAACCTGTCTGCCACATTTCTGGCCCTTGTCTAAAACTAAAAATGCTTAGTTCAAGATCTTCAAGCCAGATGACCAATTGTTGATTCCATTATTTGCTTCCCCCAACCACTAATGGAATTATGTTAGATTTTTAGACATTATGCCTGATGAGCAAAGTACCACATTATTTAATAATATATTCACCATACACCGTAACATACAATAAAAATGTGCTCTTAAAGCCAAATTGTTTCAGTTCTACCTGGAATTGAAATGGAAGGGCGAGCATGCAGTTGGGCCAACTACTTACACTCCAGTTGCACTGTTTCCCCTAGCTAACCATTAGTTGGATGTAAACAAATAATTCTATGTTGTACAAGAATGAGATGACAATCCAGTGCAAAGGAGGTTTTTTTTAAAAAAACTTGCTGCATGAGAAACCCTGTGGCCTATGTGAGGAGAACTCATATTATACCAAATAGCGGCGCAACCTGTGGATTAGACCTCTACTGTAGACATGAACACGACTAACATGAACACGACTAAGCCATACATTATCAAGTAATTCACACTTCCAGTAGTAGGTGAGCATTCTGAAAAGTTGTACTGCGGATAGAAGAGTTTTGGCCTACAGCCATCAAATGCCCATTTTCCATTGCTGGGAGCAATGTCAAAAAAGGGCTGGCCCAAAAAACCCAGAGCTGTCAGTACAACCCTGGAGACAGATGCAACTGAATAAACCCTGTTTTACCCAATTGCACTATTTGGTACCTCAAAATTAGTTATTTTACTTTTCCACAGAAATATCTGCATTATCTTCCATTCTAATAGATCGAAACCATAAATATCTCAGTCTGAGTGAACTAAATTATTTGGGGACAGAGAAGAAAAGTGATGAACAGAGTTCATCTGATTTGGTATAGCAATAATCAATCATCCTTGAATGGTGACGTTTGAATGGAAAAAACTATGCTCCTATTCATGGTACAATTTTTCATTACATCATTTTGTTTAAAAATCATTTTGGGTAAAAAAAGTATTTGGCTTATTATGCCTGTAAAAAGGCAATTCACTTCATAATACCAATATTTGTTTTCAAAACACCAATGAAAATTTTTTTGTGGAATTTATTAACTGTTTTTGGACAATGTCCAAAAAAAGCAATTTTTAAAAAGTAAAATAGTGCTTCTGAGGTCTTTAAATATTTTTGGTACAAAAAAATAATAGTGTTTTTCTCAATGGTTATTTGAATACTTTGCTGTAAATTAAGAATTGTTTCTCACATCAAATGGTTCCATTAGGCACATTCAAGTAAAATCATAAAATATCCAAGTTAAACAATGACACAGCCAAACATGTGGCTTGATAAAAGTTAAGAGTTCGTCCATTCTCTGGAATGGAATAAAATTGTCACTTCCGTTAACCCGAGACTCGTGGTTTTGTTGTTAATGTCCATTTCTATCATACAGAATAGTTTCTTTTAAAAAAACAAAAAAACAACAAAAAAAAGAGTTCACATATTCTGCACTCAGAAGAACCAGCGAGGAATCTGCACTTCAAAAGGAAGTGAAACTAAAAACATTAGGTGAAATTTCATAGTTGAGAGTTGACTCAACACTGGCATCAAATGGACTGCTGAAGTTTTAGTGGTGCCCAGTTAATGGCCGCCTCCATGGGCATTGTGTACCCAATCCAGAATAATCAAGGCCATGCTTCCAGTCATCACCACCACGCCACTTAACAGGAATAACATAGCCTGCAATAAGCACAAGGAGAAAACTGATCAGCAAGCAACAAAATACACATCTTTCTACTTTTAAAAATAGGCTTACAATCACTAAAATTATGTCAATTGTATTTTATAGAGCTAAAGATATTTAAATGGTCTTAAGTAACTGAGGGGTCGTATATAGTACAAAACAACTATCTTTGAAACCTTCCAAAATTTCATTTTTTCATTTCTTTTTCTCAAATGAAAAGCTAAATAATTTTCTTTGCTGAAGATACTAACTCATCAAGTAGAATTGGACTGAGTTCTTTGCATTTTATTTTTAAGCAAAAATTCAAGTCATAAAATCAAACCCAAGTCATCCTAAAACGCATCCTGAGTCAAATGAAGTCAGGGGTCTTTCTAAGAGACAGGAGTACGTTTACTCCTAATCCTACCCTTCAATTACTACCCCTATATACTTTTGAGTAAAACAAAATGACAGCTGTTGGTTTACAAACAATTCTAGTACTTTAATCAGATCAGAATGGTAGTGGAGAATAAAAACTGAAAAGCAGTGTTTTTCCTAAATATCATCACCAGGACCATTTGTGCTTACCACATCATACCCTTTATAAAATCAGTGTTGTTACACTTGAAAGTACATAACGTTGGGGTTGTCGGAAAAGTCATGACGTATTTTTTTCTGTTTTTTTTTGTTGCAAAAATGTGTCATGACTTTTCCAACAACCCAGTAGTATTTTAAAGTGTAATAGCCGCTTCCACTCCCAAGCTCTGCATTCAAGATGGTTTGTATCGTTAAGACTAAATACCCCATCTTTTTCTCTTTTATATAATATCAAGCCCCATTTAAGTGTCTGTCACACAGTAGGCAGTCCAAAAAACATTGGTTCAACAAATGTTGAAAGCTAAGCCAGTATTTTCATACTTTACACTATCTCTGTATCTAATAATTTTCTTGCAATTAGCTTAAGCATGTATTAGATGGCAAACTGTCTTTTACCTCCTCTCCCCCATCTTTCATCTGTGAAGTAGTTATAAAAATTTAATAAAACCGTAAAAGTGAAACTACAACAAATGATAGCCAACAGAGAAAAATTAAAATCAGTTGAGGAAATTTTTAGTATTGAAAGATTTTTAGTCAGTCACCATCTCTTACTCACCCCAATCTTCTGTACAGATTTCATAGGTTCCTTCTTAACTAACTTGATATAGAAGGCCGATGGAAGAATAAAAATCAACATAGCAGCTGCAGATGCGCCTGTAAAAGAACATTTACCTTCTTCAGAATTCAATAAATCACTTGCCATTCATGTTTTAAACCTTAAAATTCCTGATATTTTAATCAACCATGATACTTTCTAAAACTTACCAATGAAACCAAAGATATCTCTAATAGTTGGGACAAAGATGACAAGCAAATTGGTGAATGCCAAGATGGACACTGTAATGAGGCTATGACGCCACCAACTGAAATCTTTTGTTGGGCACAACAAGTGAGTTATGGAACCCCGGATCTGCAATAAACAAATAGACAAGCAAATGAAAATTCCAGCTTCAATTAATTTAAAATAAAATCCAAATAACAGGAAATATATCTAAAATAAGCAGCTATGTAAATAATAAACGTGTGCCGCCTTCCTCTACTGCTGTTTTCTAAACATCTCAACACTGTTAGATCATTTAATATCTTCAATTATGGAAAAAATACCCTCGGACGTTTTGAAAATCTGCAAAGAACAGTCAGTCCCTTCAAAACCACCATCAACTCTATCATTCCAGTAGTGTTACTCTCCTCCCAGAAGAGGAAAATCTCACAAATCTTCACGTTTAAACCCATTCCTACTGAAAAGAGAGCAAGTGATTCCTTACCGGGAAAATAACGACTGGTACCGTGAGGGTGACAGCCATCAAAACAGCCAATCGGACAACGAGGAGAAGAACATCAGTTCCCAAAACACTGGAATAGGTATGAAGCAGTTCGGACTCAACATGTTCTATGGGGAAAGACAAAAACAAAACAAAAACTTCAAATATGCTGTTTTCTCTGGAGATTAGGTGGAAAATCCAACTTGTGGCCAAAATTTGCACCAAAGGTATTAGCTACTCACAAAATGACTGTAAACTAAGAGGCTAATAAGATTAATTTGGAATTAGGTTAATGCAATTAAAATAACATTGAAGGAAAATTTTTCTAAATACCAAGCAGCGATTTAGCCACATGACCCCCATTAAAAACAACAGGAGCTAAACAGCTAAATCCCATGGTTTGGCTTAGTTTTTGTGTGTCGTATAATTTGAAGGCAATGGGGGAGGAGATAAGAAAGATGAACTCAGATGCAAGCATATCGTACAAAAATGGCATCAAATGATTAACGATATACTTTTGAAACTGGGCTCTAGAAGCTACTGATTAAATATACTATAGGAAATTCTAAGCTCTAAATTCAACTTTCAATTTCTCACCACAAATGAAATATACCAAAAGAGACTAACTTTTTTTAGTGATAGAACTATACTTATCAAAATATCAATTTTATTTCACAAAGTGGGATTTCCCCTTTTTTGGAGGGGGTGGGGGGTGGGGTGGCTAACCAGACATTATTTACCATAGAATGTCAGGTATCCAAAGAGGGCAGCAAGCAGGTACATGAGAAACATAGCAAAAAATGAAATCTTGGACACGTTCATCATTCTTCTACGGCTGCGGCTATGTAAATTCAAAGGAAAATACAAAAATATATTTTAGCAATAGCTATAGCAATAATTAAATATTTAAATGTATGTGAAAATAGGTTAAGAACTCACTCTTTCAGCTCTTCGTAAATGGGAAGAATAGCAGGATGACAGACAAATGAAAAGGTCAGAATTGGCACAGCATAGACGGTCTGCAAAAAATGTAAAAACTTGTTCAATATCCTAATGTAACAAACTCATGTTATCACAGTTCTGTAATGTATATATCAACTAATCTTAGAATCAAAGCCTAAGATAATTAAATTAGTTTCCCTTACATAATTAGCTTCCAATATTCTAAGTTGTTCGCTATGTGATTAATATCCTAACTTCTGAATGTGTCAATTATTAACATCATGCGATTATTTCATTTCTGAATCATTTTAAGACACAAACCAATGCTTTCTTTTCAGTCCTCAATAAGAATGATGTTTTCTAAAAAGCAGCTATGACCCCTTCTCCCTTTACCTTGGGAGTGATTTTTAAATTTCCAGTACAGTTTCCCTCCTCTCTTCCCTAAAACCTTCCTTTCAGAACATGAAGATTATATTTAGTTACCTGTGAGTTGAAGATAAAATAATGTGGTCTGCAGGCATCATCAGTCGTGTTAAATGCCATGTCAGTTTCAAAAGCTATTGGCTGTGTGAAGGTGCTGTTCATTGTTTCATTCACTATCAAAGTAACTTCCAAAGGACAAGCAATATCAAACTTCTTGCAAATCACCTGAAAATATATTATTTTGCATTTGTTAAACTGAATATTTTGACAGGGCTTCTAAAAACGAAATCTCCAGCTTCAAAGAAAAGTTATGCTTACCACTATCAGAAAGAACATCATACACAACAAGGAAAGGCCACTGGTATATCCCAAATATCCTATAAGGAGGCAGGAGAGGATGAATGTTAACGTTAGTTCCATGAAATAAGTTTAGGGCAAATATATTTTCTCTACTAAATAACTCAATTCTGCCTGGAAGACTGTAGTGTGGCTACAATATTAACTTTCTAATTCTGACGTACTAAGACAGAATTACCAACAGTTGCTAAGGAACTAAAATAATAAAAACTTTCTGTATTATTCCTTACAAAGTACAAGACATTATAAAATGTCAACAAAATATTTTGGCCCCTTGGTAGCGATAGTGCTAGTACTCTGAAAGACCCACAGGTTTGTAGACTGCAATGCAACTCCCCACGGTATGCATTTAGGGCTTTTCCGCTCACAATTTCTAGTAAGAGAAAGCCAACGAGCTGGTGGCGAGGTTCATTTCAGTTCTCGTTCGGGATGAGATTGCTCACCTAAATTTCTCAGCAGTGACAAAGGGAGAATGAGCACCAATGACACCAGCAGAACCAAATAGTCACCGTTCAAATACCACAATCTGAATCAAAGAAAAGAAAAACAAGGTCAAAACCCAGTCACAAACACCCTCAGGAAAATATGCAGCTCTTCTCACAGGACTCATCTTATAGAAGTACTATAAAAATACACACACAAAAGACAGGTTTGGAAGTACTGCTCATTCAAAAAGCTTACAGACAGGAATAAATCTCTCCCTTTGTGCACTAGATGAATATTCACTCAGGTTAGAAATGGGGTATGAAACAGTGTAACTTTTGTCCCACTGTTTGCTCTGGGAAGGCTGCCAGCTGATTCATAACATAAAATACTTCTTAAAGGCTTGCTTCTTAATATAGGGAACAAAGAGGCATTGTTAAGCCAGTAATCTTATCATTAAGCATTTTTTAGAAAAATTATACACCAACTTTGTCATAGCTTTAGCTTGCAATTTTTAATGCTAGAAACAAGGAAATTTTAAAACAAGTTTCTTTCAGACATTTATTAGCAAATGTACAGATTAAACACTTCAACAAGGAAAGTCTTTCGCATTTAGGTCAAATATTATACATAGGCAAAAAACAACAAAACCCAGTCTCCCAAACCAGGACTTATTCCAGGGTGTCAAGAGTGTGTTGTAACACCTTGACCCACCTTGACTCCAAAGATAGTCAAAAGATCCCTTCTGAAGTTAAGTGAAAATATTAACCATGTCTCCTAAGCATTCTAGCAATATTTTTCCTTTTTAAGTCATCTACACTACCCTCTTTTAAATGACTATTTGCAAATTCTAATTGCCCTGTGAATTCTACTCCACTCACTTCAGCAACAAAGACCCCACACAAACCTCTATCTAAAGATCAGCTTACTAAAATAAATTTCTAAAGCACAGAGATAACCACCTCTCTATTTTGAGATAAAGAGCTGCAAGTAAGTGGGGAAGTAAATTATCTCCCCCTATGTTTACTTTAGATAAAAACCTATTAGTCAACTGGGGTGAACAACTTTGCTAGAAGGATAAGGGTTCTACAGTATGGCCATCCCATTTTCTGGTATTATGCATTTTAAATAGATTAAGTTTTAAGAATTTCAAATTTACAAAAAAACCCGGACAGGAATTGGTTTTTAACAATTCAAAGCTGCAGTCCTAACATAGGTTTAAGTATGTGTTTTTCAGTTATATCTTCTTAGAGAGTAAAATATAAAGAGGAAAAGTTAAGTTTAAAAAGCCTGTTTTCACATGCAGGTTAGAAATTAGTTATCCAGAGTTATGAAGACTACCTACCGTCTTTGGCCTTTCACCCTCAAAAGATCAGTGTATGGGGGACTGCTTGGTCAGTTTCAACAATAACATTTACAAAAAAGTAATTTACTGAGTCATTTTATATCCACCTTTGATAAATCTAACCGTTTTAGATTTTAATCGTTTCTTAGGAGTAACCTTACTTAGCACCTACCCAGTTGTATCTTCAATGTTCATTAATGCCTGGATCACCAAAGGTAACTCATATTTCACTATGAAGAGGTAGCTTGACATAGCTGGAGGAAAACAAAATTATACCATTACAAGTGCAAAATGTGGCACCGTGACACCAAAAGTAACGTGTCACCGCTCTGTGCTACACAGAGAGGAAGTCTACCCATATCGCCTTTTAAACAATTCTTACCTCCAATATTCTGCATTGTAATCGATCCAGAAGCTGCAAGCTTTCCAACCAATCCAAATGCCTTATGTCCCAATTGTTCATATAATAAAGACCCTATAATTTGAAGAACACAGATGCATGAAGCAGGTATTTCATAAGAGGAACAAAACCGCCGACAGGCGTTAATTGTTTTAGAAATATCAAAAATGCTACCATACCTCCTTCATTGGCAGTCTTCAAAAGGAGATGAACAGAATACAGAGAAAATATTGACACAAATGTCAAGAGGATTCTGATGAGAAAGAAACGGTGTTGGGTTAAAAACAAGCACAGCTCTATTTAAATACAACTTTTTTTGGTTTTGGTTATTTAAACATTAAATATGGAATTTATCCTAATACTTGTGCTAGATAGAATGCCAAGAACTAGTGTTCACTTTCCTGGCTAGTGTCAACATATTCTCTTACCTGGCAGGCACTAAAAACTTGCATGTCTCAGGTAATAGGGTCTATAGAATTGTTAAGAGCAGGGGTTTACCCACTGAACCAAACATGACAGGAGATACTGGAAAGCCAAACTTTAAAGTAGTAGAGTTCTGAGATTTATAATTTGATTCTGGCACCATAATACATTAGTTGTATACTTGCCGCTTCTCTGCACTTTAATTGTTGCGCAATATTCCCTGTAAAATGATGGCAATACCTGCTAGCAAACCCAGCCTACAAGGTACTTCTGAAATGCAATCAAGGTAGCACAAATCAAAGCAGTAATCAATGAGACGATATATGATATTCCACCCCAGGGTATGGAATACAGGCCCAGCACCGTCACCAAGTTAAACAATGCCTGTGCTATCTATCAGTCCAACTGTCTGGGCTGTCTCCTCGCTGGAACACGGGGATAAATTGAACAGAGAAGGACTAAAGATTCCCTAAAGTTTTCCTTTAGAGCACTGGTTCTCTCTCATTCCAATTTTATTTTTCTCCCCGCCGCTAGGCAAGCCAAGAAAAACATGAACTACTTTTTAGTAACAGGAACAAAATTCAAAATCCGGGAAACTCACAGAAAATTCTACAAACAAGAAGACAGTCACTTTTTTAAAATTTTATACAGGCAAACTGAATATAGTACCATATAAGGTCTGGCAACAAAACTGATGTCTGTCAGTTAAACATAGATGGTGACATCAAGCTGCCATTCTAATGCCAATAGTTGTATGGGGTCTAATCTGAGGTGGGAAATGACACCATTAGCCTCACCTCTAGGGAAAGTTGTTGGTTTAAAATCCAGAACAATTACAAATTCAGTCCTCCTTTCTCTACACTGAAATAGCAATTGGGTGGGGGAAATAAATGGATTTCATAAACTTTGAGGTGACATTCAACCTCAAGACTGATGATTCTGCTGATAAGGTTAGCTACAGAGTTATTTACCTTTAAATATACTTTGTAAAATACTACTGCATTAAAAACTCATTTTAGTACTCTTGATACTATTTAACCATTTCTTAAAGTGGTTAATCATCAAACACATAGACCCTATAAAGTATAAATAATTTCCAAAGTGCAAGGCTAACATCAGTTTTGCTTTCACTTAATGGGACAGAGGTGCCATTTTATCGCAAGTAAATTCTGCACTATAACCCCACTTAAAAACTGCCTCCAGTTTTTATACTGAGTTAGGAAGGGTTTTCAGTATCTAAAAATGATGCCATTCAAGTTCCCCTTTTACCAAATACTTTGAAACTCTAGGGTCCTTTCTATATAAATTGCTGGTCCTTCACCTTAGTAAGAGGTCTCAAAAAACCTCATGCTAATGAAGCAAGCTGACTGAATCCTAGCTTCCAATACTCAAAGTTGGGCTTAACTTCAGCACAGAATTTCGACACAAAGCAGTGCTTTATAAAGATCTGCTTTTCTTTTCATGAACGTTCTATTCTGCTGAAGGAAATAAGTTGAGTAGAAGGTACCAGTCAGCTAACTAAAGTACATCTGTCACAAAGGGACAATTCCATGCTACCTGCATATGTGGTTTCTTCATCTGTACAATAAAAATCACACTATCTTCCACAGATATTGCCTTGGTCAAAGAGCCCAAAGGTACTTAAACTTAACAACTATGACATAAACATCACTGAAAATGTATGCCCAAATTTACATGTATTTTTGTTGGGTGCTTTTTTGTTGGAAATAAGGTCCTTATTTTTCTATTATATTCTCCAAGGATCCGTCACCCCACAATTTTAAGAACCACTGCTCTAAAGTCTTTTATAAAAGCTCCAAAATTCTATTATAGGTATTTGTGCTGGAAATCACAAGTATAACAAATTCTAACTAAATAACTAAAAAAAAAAAATAACATTTAAAAGCAGGTACTTATTAAAAATATTAACTTTCTTGCTATGGTATGTGGCAATCACACAGATCTGTAATAAATATTAAAAAAACAAAAAACACATATGGGTTGCTTTTCAATTGCTTTATGACTACTTTTCTTAAGATAAACATTATTTCCGGTTAGGCAAATACCATCACACCCTATATATTTTCTTTTAATTAGTTGTTTTCCTTATGCATGTTAAGGGGCAATAGGTCCTTGGGGAGACTGTCAATTTACCAAACTGGCTTGAAAGTACTATGCATATTAATATTTTGGCTTCTAATTTTGCCAGAACAAAATTTCTAACTACTCTGGATTAATCAAGTTGTTTTTCTGTTGTTGTTTTTTTTTTAAAATCCAAACCCTGTTACAACTTTAAGTATTTTTAGTGACTTAAAAGACTTTTGGCTTAATTATCAGTTTTAATTGTTGTCCTATTTTTCCTAATTGGCTTTCTTGATATCATGCAGTTATATACTAGAATAAAGATATTTTTTTATTTCTCTTATTTTAAATTTTAAGCAAATGATTTTTAAGTTAACTCCTTCAACTGTAAATTCAATCTCTGGAGCCAAAATATGTTGTATCATCATATTAACTGCCCTGCATGGCAGACTCACTACTTACACATACTTACATAAAAAGAGCAATTCCAGTATTAGCCATGGCATAAGAAAGCCCAAGGATTCCACTGCCCACAATCGCATTGCTCAGATTAAATACTGACATTCCAAAGGAAGTAGTACCTGGATGCTACATAGAGGGAAAACGATAACCAAACATACAACAATAATTAAATGGAGAAAACCAGCTTTGGGTAAGTTAGATTTGATATCTAAACGTAAAACTATTCTTTTACTCCATAAAGCCACAGACACACAAATTATTATTTTTAACTTACAAAGTCTGTTTCATACTTCTTTTTCCCCAAATTCGATTCAAGTAAAAAGTTCTGGTTTTCAGGGTCTACATCTGCATAATGGCTGCAAGAATTTAAAAAGAGAAATTGTAAGTTGGATTGAAATGTACAATGGAATGCTTTAACACAAAACTGTCATTTAGTAGTTCTCACACACCTTTACTTAAATGCATACATAAATAAGCATTAAGTAGGAGTCCACTTTCACGAGCTATGTCATTGCAATAAGACAAACGGATCCTCTTTTAGAGATTCCTCTCCCTCCAAATGCTACAGTAAATTCAAGCTTAAATAGAATCCTGGAACCCCCTGATCTGCACAAGCCGTTTTTAAAACAGCACACAACTTCTCTCACCTTTTCAGAGCAGCTTGCTTGGTGGGGTAGGAGTAGTTGAAGTCGCTGTTGGAACTGTAACTGCTGCTGTCCTCATCCGGGGAAATATTGAACCTTCCCATTTCGGCTTTCTTCATGCTGGGCACCGGGAGGAATCGGATGCTTCGAGTAACACTGGGCTCCTTTTGTCCTTGGCGGTGCACCGGCCCGCGCAGCTGCCTGCGAAGGTAGAGGCGGCGCGTCAAGACCGCAGCGCCCGCCCTGGTCACGTGACGCCGCCGGGCGGCGCAGCGCGGCTGATTCACCCGGGCCAGGCGAGTGGAAAAGTACCAGCCGAGCGCGAGGGGCGGGGGCGCGACGAGGGGCGGAAAAGTACAGACAGCGGAGCCGCGGAGAACAAAGATGGTCCCACTGCCGCGCCGCGCCTGTGGAAGCCCGCGCCCGCCGGACCCCGAGGCCTCTCGGCAGGTTTTAGTATTTCGCCCTCTCCGTGATCTTAATTCTAAGGGAGGAGTGCGGGGGGCTCGGTTTTGCTCTATCCCAGCCTCTTTGGTCGTGTACAGGCAGGGTACACAGCTCCACCAGGCATTGGCTAGGTGTGCACGCTGCCCAGGTGCACAGTTCCCCGTTTCCAGCATTTGCAAAAGCAATGCCGCGTAACCCGTCCTTTTATGTTCGAAGCCCCCAGATGGAGAACTGCCTTTGCGGCAGTGAGCCGACTCGAGGGGGCGGAAAGGGCTGACATGAGTCCTCTACAGAGCAGGGGAGAACGCCCGTTCCGGGCAGCTCAGCGGGTTTGTTGACACGCGCACGCCCGTGCCCCCGGGCACACACATCCACTGGCATTTGGCTGGCGAGCGCTTCGCCCGGCCGGCCCCTCCTATGCTGGGAAAGGAAACTGATGCAACCTCGATTGCCGATTGTCAAACGTCCCCGGCCAGTCTTCCCCAGTCGTGGCCTCCGCTACACTAAAAGCACGAAGCCGCTTTGGCGTCCCCAAATTCAAGACCCTCTGTATTTAATTTTTTTTATTGATGCAAATAAGCCACAAGACTTGCCGCAGCGGAGGCGCGGAGCGGGCTGGCTCCCCTCCCCCTAACGGGAGAATGCGGTTCCGCTCCCGGCGGGCACGCGGCCCCCGCGCCGCGCTTCGCCCCTCCCCAGACCCGTGGAGGGCGGCGAAACCCCAGTGGGCCGGGGTCGAAGACGAGCCCCGCGGACTGCAATTGCTTGTCCCGGGAGGAAATGACCCCCGCAGCTGCCTTCCCGCCGCAGCTCCTCCCGGACGCCCCTCCCCCACTCCCGCCCGGGCCCTGGGCCCCGGGCCCTTTCACAGATACCGCCCACGCGGTTACCTCGGTGGTCTCCGCTCCTGATTCCCGGAAACGCTTTCGGTGGGTTTTTCTTAAACAAAAATCGTTTGGGGAGAAAGAAAATAACAAAAGACCCCAAAGATACGAAGGAAAAATAATCTTAATAAAAAAAGGAAATGGCAAGTTGCCCCCCTAGTCGCCCGGCATCCGCCGTCTCAAGGGAAAGGCGTGAATGTGCCGGTACGCGTGGCTGGACTGCTAGCAGTGGTGCGGGACACGAAGCTCCAAGACAGGGACGTCGCGCGGCTCTGGAACAGCTCCGAAAGCACCGGGTTATAGCGGCCGCCCAGACGACACGTCAGTGGGCGGGGCTGCGGCCTCTGGGTGCCTTCTCTTTGTGTATCAACACCACCTGGGCCCCGCCCCCGAACCCACAGGCCCCGCCCCCGAACCCACTCGCGCCCCTCCCCTCGTGGCGGACTCAGGCGCCCCGCCCGGCCCGCTGGCGCCCCCCAACACCCTCCAGCAAAGCCAGACCCCACTCTCTCCAGCCCCCTGGTCGGAGTGGGAAACCCACCCCCGACATGCTTCCCTCGGCCTATTCATTTCAGCATGGATTGGTGACCAACATACGTGGTTGTCTTTAATGAGCCTTCTCCTTCAAATTCCTTTCGGTCCGTGTTACCAGCAGTTTTTGCTTTCTACTCGAGGGTTTTTGGGGACACCTCCCGCCCACCCAACCCTTTCCTGCCTGTTATTTTTGTGATTTACATGGGGGTTTTCTCTCCCAAACTTGTCTCCATGGTCGGTTTCTGTTCTCGTTCTTTCTTCTCCATCTAGACCTGCTTTCACTCTTTAACACCAGCCTGATGAGGTGGTTGGCAGCTCCTTTTCGAGATACCTTTATGTATGAACATGGAAAACCCTACTAAGGGAAAAATACACATCCTGACCAGCGATTCTGAGGAGTTGTAGGAGTCCCCAGTTTTCCCTTCTTTTCACCACCGCTACCCCAGTTTGAGAGTACTTCTCGCCCTCCACACCTTTCTTTCCTGTATTTACAAAGGCGCTGCCTCTGTTGGAATGCTGGTCTGAGAGACTCTCCTTTCCAGTGGATGTGGTTTTGCTGAACCAGGCAACTAGGGGGCCCCTTCGCTGTGGAATGCTTGGTGCTGCCGGATAGGCAGGATCCGTCCCTTGCAGGAAACAAAAGGCCCCTTATGAGAGATAAATGTTTGTTGAATGAATGAATAAACAAAGGAGTTTGACCTACTGCTCTCTTCCTTTTGGGGACGTGGGAGACTCTGGGCAAGGCATAGAGGAAAAGGGTTGGGTGTGATCACAATTTTTGCTTTCAATGTTTTCCTGAGGAAATCTATACAACAGTCTATCTCTGTTGCTCGTGAGGCTGCGGATGTCCTGAGCCTGCACCAGAGTTCATGATTGACAAGGGAGGACCCGATTTCCCCTTTACACTCCTATGGTCCACACCCATTCTTCTGGTCAGACCAGTCTCACCTAAACAAGGCGCTTTCTTGCTTTAGTGCCCAACTTCCCCTCACCATCACTCAAGGCTTTGTCATTGAACCACAGGAAAGCCTCCTTCTGCCTTAGTACCTTCCTTCTCATCCCTTTTTTTGCAGGTACAATTTTTTTAAACGATGTGGTGCAGGTCTTTTTAAAACCTGTGCTGATTTGTACTCAAAATTGTTCAAGTTTGTTTGTAGTCTTGTCTTCCCAGGACGATTGTGAACTTCCGGAAGGCAGGTTTGGTATCTCACATAATTAGGACTGAAAACACTTACCTTTCACATACATTCCCTAATAACACCAATCAACTTTTCTTGTCAGGAGAGTAATAATTGTGGGTAGAAAGGACTTCCTGGAAAGTTCCTTTTTATCAGGTTTCAACTGATAAAAATCAAAAGGTCATAAACTACTTTTTTATCCAGGTGAGTTCCCTACCAGGTCAGAGGTGCTAAGGAAGCCATCAGGGTTGGTGATTGTGGTTCATAAGTCACACTCACTAGATATGTTGTCCTTTGGACATTTTGGTGGTTTGTATTGCAACATATACTTAAGAGGACTTTGTAAAATTCAGTGTGTGTGTGTGTGTGTGTGTGTGTGTGTGTGTGTGCTTGTGCGTGTGTGCTTGTGCGTGTGTGCTTGCGCGTGTTGGGAGGAAGGGCTGTAATCTTGTTCTGACCTCTCTATGATAAGAACCTGAACAATAAATGACAAAAAAGAGAGGGAGGTATTGAAATGTCTATTTTTCTATTGCCAGTTTGATGTTTTCAAAGGCCAATCTGAGGCATATCTACTAACTCAAATGGCTTCCAACTGAGGCTTGATGTGCTTGGGCTTTTGCTGTTATGCTTTAGGCTAGAATGTATGGGACGCAGTACCCTCACCCACTTTCTGGGAAACTGTACCACAAAATGCTTGTTGGTCAGAAGAGCTATGATTTTACTTCATTTCTAAGCTAATGTTTTAGAAGAACAGCATTTTACAAACTACAGAATGGGACCCAGTAGTGGAGAGTCATTAGTTAATTTGGGGGATTACTCTGAGCTTTTTTTCTTTAATACATAGAATTAAAAATATTGGTATGCCATGTATAGTCATGCTATAGTATTCTGTAAAACTTTGATTATGTATACATATGTATATATTCTGAGTTATGATATAAAATGTATTTCTTACTGTGAGTTAGGATCAAAGAATTGTGAAAGCTCCTGAGAGCAAACCTATTCTAAGACAAAGAATGATCACAAATAGCAGTTGTCAACTCTGAATTTTCAGGAATACACTGTCAAGGTAGGTTATTAGGAGTTTTTACAGGGTAGATAGCTCTCTTCTATAGAATTATTTACCATTGTCACATGATAAAATAGAGTGATTTTGTATCCTGGGGTCTATAATGAGTCCAGTGGACCCTCCCAAAACTTGTTAAACAGCTGGTCTTTAGGATGATTCTCAAAATTCTATTTATCCAACATTTTAATTTTCCTGAAGTGGGCTTAAACATTAAATTTGCTTTACTCTACCCTCCATTTCCAACCAAATAGTTTTGTTCTCAGATTGGCTGTCACAGCTTTCTTTGATCTAGCCCTAACCTGTATTTCCACCTTTATCCCCCATTATTCCTTGTGGTAGCCAGCTTCTAAGATGGCTCCCAAGGAATCCCACCTCTTGGTATTCATGCCCACTTATAATCCCCTCTCCTTAAATATAGGTTGGACCCAGTGATGTTCTTTTATTAAGCAAAAGTGATGGCATGTCACTTCTAAGATTAGGTTACAAAAAGACTCTGGCTTCCATTTGGCTCTCTCTTGCTCTTTTCCTCATTTGCTTTGAGAGAAATCAGCTGCCATCTTGTGAACTGTCCTACGGAGAGGCCCATGTGGCAAGGAACTGATGTCTCTGGCAACAGCCAGGGAGAATGTGGGGCCTCCCAGAATTGCGTGAGTAAGCTTGGAAGCTTTGCCCAGTTGAACCTTGAGATGACTGCAGCCCCAGCTAATACTTTAGGGAGAGGACCCAGCTAAGCCCAGCCTGGATTCTTGCCCCCAGAACTCAGTGATGATAAATGTTTGTTGTTTTAAGCCGCTAAGTTTTGCCATAGTTTATTACTCAGCCAAAGATAACTAATACATTCCCCTTCATATACCCTATACTTTTGCCAAAATATATTGCTCAGCATATTTAATACAAACCATCTCCCATTCAATCTGGTCCCACTGCTTGGAGTGTTCACGCCTTCTCTTCCCTGCCATTACTATGAATCTAAACTCTTTTGAGGCCCAGCTTAAATACTACACTTGCATTATTATTTTTTTTATTTGATGCTCCCATTTGAAACTGATCTCATCCTGCTTTGAACTTACACTTTATTATAAGTATCTTTTTGTGGCATTTCTTTTTGTGTTGTCTGTGTACTAGATTTTATGTTTGGGTCTTTTCAGAGTAAAATCTGGCTAATCACACCGAGCTTAGTCACTTGTAAAAAGAAGGTATTTTTTCAGTATGTTGATGAATTAAATATGTTTCTTCTTTATAGGACCTATCACCACCTGAATTATATTTATTTATTTACGTGTTTGCTGTTGGTTTTTCTCACTAGAATGTAAGCTCCATGAGGGCAGGAGTTTAATCTGCTTTAGTTACTGTTAGCTCCATCACCTGGAACAGTGCCTGACCATATATTTTTGTTGAATGAATAAATGCAGGAATAAATGGTTTTGAGTTTCTCTAAGACCAGAAGAAAACATTTAATACAGGTCCCATACCCTGCAACCCCATCTGAAAGTAAAGCATACCTACAAAACCTTTTGTCAGCCATTATGGCATAAAGGGAAGGAGCTATTACCATTAATTTATATGCTGATGCTGACTGTAGTCCCAGGAAAGGAGCGTGGCAGTGCCTCTCTCGCTGCTGCTTGGGGTTGTATAATGCCTGTATAACAGCTCGCTGCAAAGCAAGTGCTGAAAGCTATTTTCACTTTTTGCCTTTTTTCATAAACACGAAATCCTCTTTGGATTTCTTTCAGTTAGGGAACACAGGTATTAATGTAGGTCTTTCACAAAAGTGAAGTGGAGTAAGGCGAACTTTTGGAAAGCGGGCATACCTTTATGTCTAAAGGGCATCTATTGCATCCCTTATTGGCCAAAGCAGAACTCTTGCTTTCCCTATAAAAACTCTTCTTTTCCTAATTTTTACAATTCAAAAGACTAACACCGCCATTCATGGAAGAGTTCAGGCCCCAGACCAGGAAGTCATCGTGAGTCCTCCTTTTTCTCAAATATCTAACCTATCAGCAAGTTGTGAGGGCTCTGCCTCCAAATGTACATTCAGAATCCTGTAACTTCTCACCGTCTCCATTGCTCTGGTCCTAGTCCCAGTGACTGTCACCTCTCTCCTGGGTCACTGCAAAAGCTACAATCTAACTCATCTCTGGGATTCCACACATGGCGCTCACAGCCCATTCTCCACTCAGCACTCCGAAAGATCTCAGAACATAAATCATATCCTTTCCTTGAGGGGATAAATCATTTCCCTTACATAAAGTCCTCCAGTGCCTTCTATTTGCAATCAGAATAAAATCCATATTCTCACTCACCATGGACTTCCCTGGTTGTGTCCTTGCCTGCCTCTCCTCAACCTCATCTCCTACCACTCTTGTCCTTTTCACCATGTACTAGCTACCTTGATCTTCTTTCTGTCCCTAAAACACTCTAACTTATTCCCTTTACAGGGCTGTGCATTTGCTGTTTCTTCCACCTAGAAATTGCCTTGCGTATATTTTTGTGTGGCTGCCTTCTCATCACTCAAGTC